TCTACAGTATCCCACTGCTGGCCCAGGGTGAGAAGTTCAGTACATAACAGATACAGTGGTGCCTCGCAAGACGAAATTAATCCGTTCCGTGAGTCTCTTCGTCTTGCGGTTTTTTCGTCTTGCGAAGCACGGCTATTAGCGGCTTAGCGGCTATTAGCGGCTATTAACGGCTTAGCGGCTTTAAGAAAAAGGAAACAAACCCGCAAGAACTTGCAAGACATTTCGTCTTGCGAAGCAAGCCCATAGGGAAATTCATCTTGCGAAGCACCTCAAAAAACAAAAAACCCTTTCGTCTAGCGGGTTTTTCGTCTTGCGAGGCATTCGTCTTGCGGGGCACCACTGTACCTTCTTCATTGTTAGGTGGGCCTTTATGTTAAAAAGCAAATACTTTGGTACTATTGGTGCAGTGCTACGATTCACTACTTGATGACTAGTATGTGATCGAATGAACTGCTCCCAGGAGGTTAAAGATGAGCAGAGGTTGTGTCTGTGCTGATTTTTTGATTTTCTTTTAAGATCAGGGGTGCCAAAGCAACTCAGATTCCATGCCAGGAAAAGCAGTACCCTGCAATCTATATAAATTAAACACATTTGCATATTTTATCTTTATTTTTGGATCACTTGGCTTCTGCTAGTTATAACTGCCTCGGTCCCCTGCAAACCTTATGTAGCCAGCCCTCTCCTTTCTGAAATATCACTGTGCATAGCTTACATTTCTAAGCCTGTAGTTCCTGAAGCCATAAGAGCTAGAAATGGCATAACAGCCCTATAAAATAGGCCAGTATTACCTCAGGATCACAGAAAGGAGAGAGAAAGAGAGAGGCGTCTTACTGAGAGGAGAGATTTGAACTCAAGACTGCCTAGTTCGTGGTTCAGTCTTTACGTTAGGTCTCTTGAGATGGCCAAAATTCTTTCATGGGGGTAAAGGTTTTGGGCTATTCAGCAAAGCATTTTCCACTGGACAATATAAATAATGGGGACCACTTGGTAACAAACTTTGACCTCCCACTGGGGGGAAAATTACTGGAGTGGGTAGCTGTTCCTGAAGTCCTGCTATTTTTTTCACATTCAAGAATGAGAACCCTTGTTATTGTATTTGCTTTGGACTTATTCATTCTACCCAGAGGGTCTTTGGGCAAAGCAGCTGAGCATTCATTTATTGCCAAATTTCAGTTTGCCCCTCACCCCCCCCATTTCATTCATCTTCTCAGTGTGCTTTCCTTACATAAGAGGCCAGTCTGTTTTATTCACTGTTGGGCCCTTGTATATGCTTGGAAGAGGAGTTCCTGCATCCTTATAAAGGCCAATTTAGTAGCTAGGAGCTTGGCAAGAACTTTTTCTCTGATTAATTGTTCGCGAGAAGGGAGTTGAAATGAATTTAAAATAATAATCAATAATTTACTTATATGCTGCTGTCCTGCTGCAAGGACTGAGAAGGGCATACAGAACATAACCATAAAATCATACTATGCAATCAATTAAAAAATGCAAGTAAAACAGTTTCTAAGAGCAATATCAAAATGCAATCAGCTCTTAAAGCTAAGAAAAACACAAACATAGCAGCAGCAGCAAAGTTAAAAGTTGTTATATAGTAAATCTGCTACAAGCAACAATAGAGTCCACTGAAATAAAAGTGTATTCAGTTTCTGGTAAAAAGACAGTGAGGGAGCCTGGTGAATATCGTTTTGGAGGACAGTATAATGTCGTGACAGCATCACCAAGAACGCTCTGGTGGAATCTACACAAATATAAAAACCCCTTTCCCCAATTTTATTTGTATTGGTCATTGAAACTCTGGCCAATGTAATTAGAGAAGATGGAAATATAAAAGGAATAAGCAATAAGGGAAAAGAGAAAATGAGCTTATTTGCAGATGACACCTTACTGACAATTGAAAATCTGTGGGAAAATATGCAGGTGTTAGAGGCACATTTGGAAAAAAAATGGAGAAATAACACGGTTGCAAATTAATTGGTCCAAATCAGAGATGATGATATTTAACTACGATGAAGATGAAAAGTGAATTTTTTTGAAGGAAATAAAAAAAGACATAAAATTAAGAAATATAATAAAGTACTTGGGAATAAATATAACAAGAAATTTAGAACAACAGAATTTTAACAAATTAAAGAAGGAAATTAAGGAAAAGCTGGATGAATATAAGAAAAACGCTTTCAAGCTTTTTTTTTTAAAAAAAGCGTTTTAAAAAATACATTGAATTTTCCATAAGGCTCACCATTGCCATCTTGTGTCACATTGTATATTGCACTTAAAACGTTTTATTTGCAATTGTATACCTGAATCCTCTGTTTCTTGTGCTCACAAGCAGGGGTTGGACTAGATGACCCATGAGGTCCCTTCCAACTCAACAGTTCTATGATTCTATGCCAAATCTCCTGAGATGTCACAAAGAGCAGGGCCTCTGACATTTATCCTAATTCCCGGACAAACCTATATGGGAACAAGTAGTCCTCTAGGTTACCTGTTTCTAGCTGCTGAGGGCTTTAAAGGCTAGAGCATGGGTAGGCAAACTAGGGGCTGGATCCAGCCCAATCGCCTGCTAAATCCGGCCCGTGGACGGTCCAGGAATCAGCGTGTTTTTACAAGAGTAGAATGTGTCCTTTTGTTTAAAATGCACCTCTGGGTTATTTGTGGGGCATAGGAATTCGTTCATTCCCCCCCCCCATATAGTCTGCCCCCCCACATGGTCTGAGGGACAGTAAACCGGCCCCCTGCTGGAAAAGTTTGCTGACCCCTGGGCTAGAGTCAGCACTTTGAACAGCCCAGAAGCATAATGGTAAAGGGACCCCTGACTATTAGGTCCAGTCGTGGCCGACTCTGGAGTTGCGGTGCTCATCTCGCTTTATTGGCCGAGGGAGCCGGCGTACAGCTTCTGGGTCATGTGGCTAGCATGACTAAGCCGCTTCTGGTAAAACCAGAGCAGCGCACGGAAACGCTGTTTACCTTCCCACCAGAGTGGTACCTATTTATCTACTTGTACTTTGATGTGCTTTCGAACTGCTAGGTTGGCAGGAGCAGGGACCGAAAAGCTCTATAACTTTGGAATAATCCCTCACAAAAGCTCAACAACTTTTGGGTAAAATCCTAAAAAAAGCTCATCAACTCCAATCCTAAAAAGAAATGTCAGCACTCATGTTCACTTCATCAAATCCGGCCCTCTTTGAAAAAAGTTGGGCACTCCTGATCTACTGCAAATCACTCAGAGATCTACCAAGATATCCCAAACTGGACTGCAAGAAAAGCTATTCCACTCAAACACTCACCCTTTGGATTCACAGAGTCAGTGGCCTTTGGCAAGGCTAACTCCTTTTCTCCTTGCATAACTGTAATGAGGATAATTAAATGGTACATTGCATGCCTAAACAGAGATTCTGACTGATCTTATATCAGTGGTTTCGTTGTTGAACCATGGCGGCATCAGGAAGGGGAATGCAGCTTGTCATTTGACTATATGGTGTGTAATTTGTCTGTCTTTGATGTAGGTCATTAAGCGTGCAAGTGCTTTATTAGCCATCTGCTTCCCTCCCCTCCCTTCCCCCATCTGGACACAGAATATTTAAAAGAGACATTCACTTACATTTGGTTGGAAAGGAAATCTTATTAGAAGTTTAGGGTGTCCCCCTCTCCCATTTCTACCCTGCCTTGCAACAAATATTTAAGGCAGCTTGAAATCAATCACATTTTCAAAATCTTCACAGCAAACCTGCAAGGTTGGTTATACAGATAGATTGTGGTTTGTTCTCTAGGCTATCTATCGAGCTGCTTGATTAAACAAAGATTTGAGGCTGGAGATCCTGCATCCAGTTCTGCCTTGCTTGCTACTAAACAACCATGGCTTTGTGAAAAGTAATATAGGTGAAATCCATCCCAAACTGGAAGTATTTTCATAGAATTGTAGAGTCGGAAGGGTCTCAACCCCCCGCAATGCAGGAATCTCAACAAGATCATACATGACAGGTGACCATCCCACCTCTACTTAAAAACATCCAAGGAAAGGAAGTTCAGCACCTCCTGTGGGAGTCTCTTCCAGTGTCAAACAGCTCTTATGGTCTTCCTGATGTTTTCTTGAATTCTCCTTTCTTGTAACTTGAATCCATTTGTTTGGGTCCTAGCCTCCAGAGCAGGAGAAAACAAGCCTATTCCATCCTCCATATGACACCCCTTAAGATATTTGAAGATGGCTATTATATCTCCTCTCAGTCTCCTCTTTACCAGTCTAAACTTACCCAGGTCCTTCAACCATTCCTCATAAGGCTTGGTCTCCCAGCCCTTGGTCATCTTGGTCACCCTCCTCTGCATACATTCCAGCTTGTCAATATCTTTCTTAAATTATGGTGCCCAGAACTGGATTGCCCCTTTCTTCGGATGGGTGGCTGTTGCTACAAATCATACATTTATGTATTTATATTTTCATAAACTGTATATGCCGCAGAAAAGAATCTCAGAGACGTTTCTAACAAGGAGTGAAACTACTACAATGGTAGAGCTATGTAGCTTTGATTTTTATATGATAAGCAGAGACAGAGTACAAAGTAAACACACAACTGCTTTAACACCACACTGCATCACTACAAAAGCGCAACCAGTTTGGGAGAGGATAAAGTTCGCAAAGTGGAGTGGAGGAATTTGTTTTAACGTTCCTTCGCATGACTTGGACCAGCTGTCTTCCTTGTTTCCTTACCTCCTACTGCAGCTCCTGGTTGCTTGCAAGAAGCAGGGGGCAAGCTCAGTGGCTGCAGCGACTACTTTCTTTAGCACTGGCACTTGGGACAAATGTCCCACTCGCCTGAAGGCCGGCCGGCCATACCCTTGTAAGTTACTAACAATTATTTTCTGGAAGGTGGTTGTGCTGAAGCCAAAAAAAGGGGGACTTAAATATTGAAAATAAGTATTCACTGTCTGAAGCTGAAGCTAAGGCTGCATAAATAAACCACATTGCTCAATCATCAACTGTCTGTGCTATTTGTTCTTTCTCAAAGGGAAGCAATAAGTCGGCTGTGTGAAGCTGTACCAGGAACACAAGGAGGCATAAAAAAGAGGAAGGTAAATATGAAACTCCTGGAAATTTACCATTTACTAGTATTTGCTTGTTTTAATATATTTAAGTTGAGCAGGCATCGAGCAATCAGACACAGGCTAATCCCAAAGCAGCAGCATTTCTAAAGCAACAGCAATACACCCAAAGGCGTAAGACTCCTCCTACTTGCTGCTTTCAGAAACTTGTTGTTGTTTAGTCGTGTCCGACTCTTTGTGACCCCATGGACCAGAGCACTCCAGGCACTCCTGTCTTCCACTGCCTCCTGCAGTTTGGTCAAACTCATGTTGGTAGCTTTGAGAACACTGTCCAACCATCTCGTCCTCTGTCGTCCCCTTCTCCTTGTGCCCTTAATCTTTCCCAACATCAGGGTCTTTTCCAGGGAGTCTTCTCTTCTCATGAGGTGGCCAAAGTATTGGAGCCTCAGCTTCAGGATCTGTCCTTCCAGTGAGCACTCAGGGCTGATTTCCTTAAGAATGGAGAGGTTTGATCTTCTTGCAGTCCATGGGACTCTCAAGAGTCTCCTCCAAGCACCATAATTCAAAAGCATCAATTCTTGGGTGATCAGCCTTCTTTATGGTCCAGCTCTCACTTCCATACATCACTACTGGGAAAACCATAGCTTTAACTATACGGACCTTTGTTGGCAAGGTGATGTCTCTGCTTTTTAAGATGCTATTTAGGTTTGTCATTGCTTTTCTCCCAAGAAGCTGGCATCTTTTAATTTCATGACTGCTGTCACCATCTGCAGTGATCATGGAACCCAAGAAAGTAAAATCTCTCACTGCCTCCATGGCTTATTCTTTTCCTAGCCAATTCAGCTCCCTCTTGGGCAAGTGGATGTGTACATTCTAGCAAATAGGAATAGTTGCTATCAGTGAAAGACGTATTGTTTTATATGCCATGCTGCATACAAACCTAGAGAGAAAGGGCCATTTTCTTTATATTTGTTTATTTATTTTACAAGCGATTAAACACTAAAATATTGTGTAACAATGGCTGTAACTATACAAACATATCTGTGCTTCTAATGAGATAGGCAATTACCGTATTTTTCGCTCTATAAGACGTACCAGACCACAAGACGCACCTAGTTTTTGGAGGAGGAAAACAAGAAAAAAAATATTCTGAATCTCAGAAGCCAGAACAGCAAGAGGGATCGCTGCGCAGTGAAAGCAGCAATCCCTCTTGCTGTTCTGGCTTTCTGGGATAGCTGCGCAGCCTGCATTCGCTCCATAAGACGCACACACATTTCCCCTTACTTTTTGGGAGGGAAAAAGTGAGTCTTATAGAGCAATAAATACGGTAATCGAGGAACATCCACAATGAAGGTAAACCGTCTTGAACAGCAGCGTTTGCATTTACTTTAAAGTGCTTGTTATTTGATTAGCAGCCACTAGCAATGCTGAACTATTTCACCAGCATTTTATGCCAGGCATCCCTGTAGAGGGAAGAAAAAAAGGAGAGTAATACACAGCCTGAGTTTCTTCCCCTACATCCCACTGGCAACTAAATTCAATGTTAATACTAGAAATATCAATGACAACTACATTGGGACTGGACCACTTTGGCTATCCCATGTGTCCTCATTGCAGATGGAAGAGGTTTGTCTGCTCAGCTATCCAGACCTCCCCAGGTAGCTTGGGCCCCAAAAGAAGTCGTCCTCAGCTCTCTCCTCCAACACTATGGCAATCACCTCTTCCATCTTTCACAAACACCCCAGTAGTATTTGTAGCTCGGCTACTTCTAAAGCAAGTGTGGAGAATCTGCCGCCCTCCAGATGTTGTAGGACTACAGCTCCCATCAGCCCCAGCCAGCATAGCCAATGGTCAGCAATGATGGAAGTTGTAGTCCAACAACATCTAAAGGTTTCCGCCCCTCTGTTGTCAAGGAAGGGCAGAACTCTAATTTGTTTCATCCTTATATTTGCATCTTGACCTTTCCTTCATCTGTTGAGCTGGCCTCAGTAGCCTCTACTGCAGTTGAATATGCAGCACTACACAGATTGTGTTTGGCTTTGTAGGGAGGGGGCCACAATACCTTCCATATTGTTGTGCCTTCCCAGTTTGTCCCTGGGTCCCACTGAGCCCCTACGTATGTTACAGGCGGCTAGAAATTCTATTTTTGCTACACTGGAATCGCAACGTTTTGAGTACCTAAAGTCCCCCTTTCCATGTACCATAAACAGCATAGTTGCTACTTGCCACCACCTTCATGGCTGCTTTCATGCTAGTTCAGATCCTTGTAAGTTCCCCGTTGTTCCTTTAATGTAGTGGTGGCCAAACTTGGCCCTCCAGCTGTTTTGGGACTACAACTCCCATCACCCCTAGCTAACAGGACCAGTGGTCAGGGATGATGGGAATTGTAGTCCCAAAACAGCTGGAGGTCCAAGTTTGGCCACCACTGCTTTAATGGTATGTCTTGCATCTCCCAAGGGTCCTGGTGTTATAATGAATACCTTGTAATAATTAATTCATTTCATTTCTCCTTGGTTACGAGTGAAATGTGAAGAATAACGTATAGGCATTTTCTTGTCTTTTTAGCCTCCAGCTAAATTTTTATCTCCAGTGCTTGGTAAAAGTAACCTTCAGTTTTCTGGCATGAATACAAAACTGACCATCTCAACAACCAGCCTCACTCTACTGAACATTGAGACCCAGCAGGTAGGCTGGCACATTATTTTACATCAGGGTGGGGAACTTCCATGCCTCAATATATTTGTGGGCCACATCCCCTCTGCAAGCAGCCCTCCTTTTTCATGCCCTCCTTGAATGTTTTTGCCTGGCCAGAATTTCCCCTTGAGCTATAATCATGCCTCTGAATTACTGGTTGGAAGGCTGATGCTTTTGTGTGGTTGAAACTAGCCTACTGTTGCTTAGCCCCCAGTCGTGCTACAATTCCCAGCACCAATAACAAACCACAGTTTCCAGGATTATTCTGAGGGGGAGGCATGTGTTTAACTGTATGATGTGTATACAGCCAAAGTAACTTAGCCTGTAACTAAGCCTAAATGTGTATTAACTAAAACGACTATAGATTGCTTCTTTGTTCTTTCTCTACAATGTAACTCACTGGTGATTTCTTGCTGCGTAGCACCTTAGCATAGTTAATTGTTTTTAATTGCTCCTAATCCCTTCTTTGAATTGTTATACGTACTGTTGTTCATTTGAGATTGTGAGCCACTTGGGACACCATTTTGTGGGAAAGTGGCATACCAATAAACAGATGACGACAATGATGTTGTTGTGTGTTTTTTCCCCAGATTATTGCGAATCACCACATGCAGTCCATTTCATTTGCTTCTGGAGGTGATCCTGTAAGTACAAACTTCTGAACTTCAAGAACCTGTTATAACACACTGTCTGTCTGTTGTCTCATTTCATATGTGACCCGTTTCCAAGTTAAATTGTTCCCTGTCTTTCTAACTCTTCTGTGATTCTGATTAGGAGAAAAGGCTCATTTTAAATGATAACTGAGGGATTTGTTTCATATGGAAAAGCTTGTAGTTTGCTTTTCCTTGACTATTTAAAACATAATACTTTGTTGTCACTCTGTTTTAGGCCATTTCCAGATGACTTGTTTATTCATTCATCCTGATTTGTTTGTGAGGAGATTAGACTATGTTGGCTATTTAATGAGCATTTATTCTGATTATTTTTTTTTGCTGGGAGGTTAGATGATGTTGCATCAAAGCAAATGTTAGCCTCCACTTGCCAGTGCATTTCCCCTTCACCTTTGTTATTGCAAAAAGCCTAATTTCTTGAAGAAATAGGTTTGTTGAGCAAGGCTTCCTGACCAACTATAATTGTGCAACCTGATTTTTGTCTCTATTGAATCCTGCCCGAAAACAGCAACAGTCTGGAAGTATCCTTAAATATCCCTGCTTGTTTTCTTGTAAAGTGGGGTGGGGGGTAGGAGTCTGCTGTAAAATAGAATAAACAAATTGTAGTGGCTTAAGCTCATTGAATAAAATTTATTTCCTTTTTGGCTTCGTGTGTTTTAGGATACAACAGACTATGTCGCCTATGTTGCTAAAGACCCCGTTAATCAAAGAGGTAGGCACAATCATTTCCAGTAATGCTGCACATATAAAAAATAATAATTTCCACTCACTTTCCATGTACTTCAAAATGCTGCCATGAGACGACCATACTTTGGAGGGAGACCCAGATACAAATGCTAGAATTGAAATGATATATAATAAAAAGTTAAAGGACCTCTGGACAGTTAAGTCAAGTCAAAGGCGACTATGGGGTGCGGCGCTCATCTCACTTTCAGGCCAAGGGAGCCAGCATTTGTCCACAGACAGCTTTCCGGGTCATGTGGCCAGCATGACTAAACCACTTTGGGCACAACAGGACACCATGACGGATACCAGAGCGCACGGAAACGCCATTTACCTTCCCGACGCAGCTGCACCTCTTTACCTACTTGCACTGGCGTGGTTTCAAACTACGAGGTTGGCAGGAGCTGTGACAGAAGAACAGGAGCTCACCCTGTCGCGGGGATTCAAACCGCCGACGTTCCAATCGGCAAGCCCAAGAGGCTCAGTGGTTTAGACCACAGTGCCACCCGCGTCCCAGTATATGATAAAGACATGCTATTTTGGGGTAACCAGTGACTTTAAAGTTTTGTGATAACTTTAAACAGTAACTTAACACTGTTGTGGCAAACGGCAGGACTCTTTGGGCAACCTCACCCATGATGCCTGATGATGAGGAAAGACCCCTTCCTCAGAACCAGGCAAGGCATGCCCGGTGTTATATACTGTGTTGAATAGGATCCAAAATGCAGCAGTCTGATTGGTCATAGAACAATAGGATCCAAAATGCAGCAGTCTGATTGGTTCTAGAAAAATGCAGCAGTATGACTGGTCTGCAGGAGCCACCCAATCCAGCTCCAGATGGAAGTGAATCCACAACTTGATTGGCCTACAGGAGAATTCCAGAATTAGCCAATCACGTGCAGCCCATTGTGTAAATAATGTATATAAAGCAGATACTTTGGGGAAACTTTCATTCCTCCTCACCACTAGGAGCTGAATAAAGAGCATGAAATCCACTCTCGACTCTGAGTATATTTCACCCATGCTGCCACAACGTCAGGAGCATGCAATCATGAGGCAACAGGGAAGTGGTTGGAGAGGTGAGGGAAGAGGAGTTGTAGTCTGTAGCCCATCTCGGGCAACATGTTTTTTACTGGTTACACTGTTTACACTGTTGGCAGGGACGCGGGTGGCGCTGTGGGTAAAACCTCAGCGCCTAGGACTTGCCGATCGCGTGGTCGGTGGTTCAAATCCCCGCGGCGGGGTGAGCTCCCGTTGTTCGGTCCCAGCTCCTGCCCACCTAGCAGTTCGAAAGCACCCTTAAAGTGCAAGTAGATAAATAGGTACCACTTTATAGCGGGAAGGTAAACGGCGTTTCATTGTGCTGTGCTGGTGCTGGCTCGCCAGAGCAGCTTCGTCATGCTGGCCACGTGACCCGGGAGTGTCTTCGGACGGCGCCGGCTCCCGGCCTCTAGAGTGAGATGAGCGCACAACCCTAGAGTCTGTCAAAACTGGCCCGTACGGGCAGGGGTACCTTTACCTTTACACTGTTTACTGGTTTTCCTGATGAAAATCCTTCCTTGCCTGCCAGGTTCTATTTGCCCAGAAGGTAAGCTGCCTTCCACCCTAGGGCAAATAGCAGTTGAGGCAATTTTAACTAGTTAAATGCGGGATGGGGAGGGTTAACTCCCCTCCCCACACTGCAGTTCCAGTCTGGACCAGGCCCTCCTGTAGCAGATTAATTTTGTTTTTGCTTTAGTTGAAGATATGGAAATGCAAGCACACATTTCACGTATCATTTAGTTCAGTTTTTATTCTACCACATACAATGGCTTTCAAATATGTGAACCTTTGTGGAAAATAGGGTGTATAAGATTTTTTTGGTGTGAAAACGTTTCCTCCTACCTTTGTACAAGAAAGCCCAGGGTCCATTAGTGGATAGGGAAAGTTAAAAACACCCAAGAAGAGATGGCTTTATTCTTTGATAGCTTTCTTATCAGAGTGGTCTCAAAGTGCCATCTGATGGCTAAGATGGGGAAATGTGGCTAGTCGATACCATAATGCTGTTATACAGATCTGTGGTATTACTGCATTTGGAATATTTTGTTCAGTTCTGATCACTTCACATCAAAAAGCCATATTGTAGAGTTGGGAAGGGTTCAGAAAAGGGCAACCAAAATGATCAAGCGGATGGAATGACTCCCCCCCCCAGGAAGAAAGTTTGAGTGTTTTAGATGGTTTTAAAAGAAAATTAGGTCCAGCACCGAGGGCCTTCTGGCAGTTCCCTTACTGCGAGAAGCCAAGTTACAGGGAACCAGGCAGAGGGCCTTCTCGGTGGTGGCGCCTGCCCTGTGGAACACCCTCCCACCAGATGTCAAAGACAACAACAACTACCAGACTTTTAAAAAGACATCTGAAGGCAGCCCTGTTTAGGGAAGCTTTTAATGTTTGATGCATTACTGTATTTTAATATTTTCTTGGCAGCTGCCCAGAGTGATTGGGGGAGCCCAGCCAGATGGGCGGGGTATAAATAATAAAAAATTATTATTATTATTATTATTATTATTATTAGATAAGGTCATCAATGACTATTAGCTTTGATGGTGATGCTCTGCCTCCATGGTCAGAGGCAATAATTCCTCTGAAATCCAGTTGCTGGAAACCTCATGAGCGGAGAATGCTCTCGTACTAGGTCCTGCTTGCAAGTTTTCTAGGCATCTGATCAGCTCCTGTGAGAACAGAATGCTGGACTAGATGGGCCAATGCCTGATCCAGCAGGCTCTTCTTATATTGTTATTTATGTTCCTGGAAATATATATTTTTAAGTGTCATAAGCAAGGCAACAGAAAATATAATAATGTGACTATGCAAATCAGTGTTTACATTTGCACCTGGAGTACTGTCTAAATGACTCCAATGATTCCAAATGTGTATATCAGATGTGGAAATGAGACATCCAAAACAGTTTGTCGCAGAATACCTAGGGCAGAATACCTCCTGTTCTGAAGAAAAGCTAAAAGAATTAACAGTGCAATTCTATGCAAGTTAACTCTGAAGTCACTCTGTATTCAGTGATGCTAAGTTCCAGATGAGTGTGCACAGCATTATGGCTTAAATCTTGAACATAGTAGAATTTACTCCCGAAAGTCTGAAGTTACAATTAAAACCCTTATCTCCCTAAAAGTATTCTCCAGTATGCCTCCAGAGCCAATGTGTGTACTTGGCCCGAGGAAAGATGAACTATGAAATTCCTTGGCACAAGGAAACCACTGCCTCAAAGAATTAAGCAAGCTCTAAAGAGCAAACAGATTATCAGTAGAGAATGATGTTTGCAATTGCCAGTTGATTATTCCAAGCTCCACTTCCATTGGCCGCCATTTTGTTAGTGGCTCCACCTCTGCACTGCCATTTTGTAATTGGTGGGCTTCAGGAAATTTCAACCCTCTCAACAGATCCCCGTTGGAAAGTTTGAGAACTTAGGTTATATTTGATTCCTTTGTTGTACTACTCTGGAAACTGCTCTAACCTTCACTTTGATGGAACTTTTACCTGCACAGCACTCTTGATAATCAGACTCCTAAGCCTATATGACAACGATTTATTTGTTTTCCACAACTTTTCTCTGTTGTTGTTTTTTTTTAGCCTGCCATATACTGGAATGTCCCAGCGGAATAGCCCAGGAAGTCATAAATACCATAGGGCAAGCTTTTGAGCTCCGTTTCAAACAGTACTTGAAGAATCCATCCACTTTGATTGCTTCCAATGAAAGGTCAGCATGGTGCTGGGAAATAATGGGAATATACATGCTGTTTGCATGCCGATCTCAAGGTTCTTGCAGTGTATCTCTTTCTCTCTACATCTCTACTGTCCCATACCTTGTCATTCACCAAGAGAGCATTATGTCAGGGCTGGGAACACTCAGGCCTGGGAGCCAAATGAGGCTCTTCTCATTATCTGGCCCCAGGACACACTGCTTCCTATAACCGAGTTGCAGTCCTAAAGGTAACCTAAAATAAAATCCCATGGAAAATAAAACTCCAAGGATAAATCACAAATAGATTGTAAATTGTGCAGAAGAGCACACAGCTTAGTGGCATAATTCATGCTCAGTGTGTTGGTTCTAGGTTTGTGCAGGTTCTAGGTTCAAGCCCCATACACTCCTGGTAATAGGATGTCTAGCAGCACTGCTTTGAAAGACCCCAGCCTGCAGACCTGATGCCAGTCACAGTAGCTAACACTGTGTTTGTTGGATTAGTAGTCTGGCTCTGTATAAGGCAGCATTTGCCAAAGTAGTGCCCTTCGCATGTTTGGGACTATTACCATCATGTTGGCTGGGGCTGATGGGAATTGTAGTCCAAAATATCTGGAAGACAACAGCTTGAGAAAGGCTGGTGGTATAAGGCATGACTTAAGAATAAGTTGAGTGCTCTGCCCATCTATTGCTCTGCAAATTGAATGGCTGCTTCTCCAGCCACGGTGAATTATACAATTAAATTCTTGAATTATATACTCCTAACCAGACTACTTGAACTCTGTCTCTTTCCTGTTCCCGGCCATTTATAAAATTATGTTCTCATTATAAATTAAAAAGCAGGATTCAAGATTAGCTGCATTACATTTTTACAGAAAAGACACAGCAAAGTTTGTTTGTCCCCTGGGGGGGGAGGGGGGTATCCAAACAGAAGGTTTTTCAGATTTCTTGGTTGCAACTACGATGTAATCCATTAATATTTTGCTGCAGTTCCAACTGCAGCAAAATGCTACATTTATTTATTTAAGGTGTTTATCTACCACTTTCAGAAGGACCTCACAAAGCAGTTTATAAAAGATTGTTTAAAACTTTGATTTTAAAAAATGTTACCATTACATTGAAAGACATGAATGGGGAACCATTGTCATCTTAAGGGCCACTTTCAAGTATCAAGTTTTTATTGCGGCAAAAGCCAGTGACACTAAACACCACAAGATCAAACAAAAAGAAATCAATAACAACATCAGAAGAAAAAAAAGATTACACAAGGGAACTTCGCAGTGTGCCATTCAACAGAGGAGATTTACGCTTCCTGATTACTAAAGTGCAAAATTTGGCCACCTCATATGATATTGAGCTTGAGGAATCTTCCAGAAGGTATTTTCGTAGAACTTCGGGGGAGGATTCCAAATAATGTTGTAGAGGTATAAATTTTGATAAAAGCGGCAAAATAAGTTGAACTCGTTCTTCACTATAAAATTCGCAGAATAGAAGGATGTGTGTGACAGATTCTACCTTATTAGACATACAGGGGCAGAGACGCGCATGCATTGGTACCCGCGTGAATTTGCCGTACAGCACTGCTGAGGGCATTGTCTCAAAGCGGGCTCTAGAGAAAGCCCATCTATAAGCTTCGTTAGTGATGTTAGTTAAGTAAGGGGCAGCTGCAAAATTAGGCCAAGCTTTTAAACATCTATACGTCTCTGGGAGTAGGGCCACTTTCACTTCTGGGCAACCTTCCAAGAGCCACATGCCAGTGATGGGAGGGGCAATGGATGCAAATTTTATTATTGTACAGTAAGCTACAGACATTGACACAAACCTCTCTGTCCTCCGTCAGGACAAAAAGAGGCATTATCAGAATTCAAGAACATATTTTCACCAGGCTAAAACTGAGTGAAAGGCAGGTTGAGTGAAGGGTGTGGTCAGACTGGGGATTTTGAAGGCTAGATAGAGAGGCATGATGGGCCATATTTGGCTCCCAGACCTGAGCTACCCCACTCCTTTTGAAAGACAATATAATGTCAACTCCACCACCGAAAAGGCCCACTTAGAAGCTCTACATTCTCAATTAAAAATTGCTGTATAGACCTGACTGAACTTTAAGAAAAGCCTGGGGAGTCGCACCCTCTGTGCCATCATCTCAGACCACTCAGTGAGTGAGCATAACAGGGGCTTTTTTGTGGTGGTGCCAGATGCTTGGAATAACTTTCCTATGAAGATCCCACGAAGCTATGATGTATATCTGTCATCACATAAATACTTTTCCTTTTGGGGAGTTCTTTAATGTTTAATTTTATGGCTGCCTGGCTTCTTTGTTTTAGATGTATTTCTTGCCTTTGTTTATGTTGTGAAGCCATTCTGGGAGTTCCTTTAGCAGAAGAGTAGAATCTGTATAAAAAATACATTGTCAATGCATTCACTGGTTGATTTAATTTAATGTCGTTTGAAACTACTTGCAGCTCATTTTATGAGACACATTTGAAAGCTGTGCATTTTGTAATGTTGATTAATTTTGAACAGAGAAGTGGTTAATCTTGGTGGATCCACATGGAATATTCAGGATAAGGAAGATCATGAATACTATAATGAAATCCCAGGGAAAGAGCCTCCTGCAGGTGGATTATTAGATGCCAGGCTGAAGGTGCCCACAGAACAAAGAACTAAGTGCCCTGTGCACTATGAACAGCAATATTGTCCAGTAAGTGTGTTTATTATTGATAGGACATTATTATTATTTAACATTATTTAGACTTCTTGATCGCTTGTTACTCAGTTTTCCAGGCAGCTTACAACACACTGAAAACATAGATGCATAATACCATAAAAAACAGAACAAGCAACTGCTGTAACAGCGAAAGGAGGCTTGGCAGTACACTAACAATAATGACTCCATTTCAGTCTATCACATTCCTGGGGGAAAATATAAGTATTCCCCTGGTGCTGAAAATAGGTCAATGGTGGTACCAGGTGGACCATACTGGGGAGAGCATTCTGCAGATGGGGAGCCACAACTGAAAAGGCCCTTAACAATATGCCTTGCGCTGAAATTTAACTGTATGAGAGAGTTCTTTAATTCACTAGAAATAACTAGAACAGACTTTCCCAAGCTGGTGTCCCCCAAATGTTTTGGCCTATAGCTCCTCATTATCTCTGGCCATTGACCATGCTGGCCGGGGCTGATGGGAGTTGTAGTTCAACAAGCTGGGGAAGGCTGCACTATGTCAAGAGTGACATTTGGGCTGAGCAAGACAGGTAAGCTGTGAGACATTGCTCAGATAGAGAGATAGGACTTGGGAGGCTGTCTGAGGCTCAAGAGTCAACCTAGACAAGGAGAAATGCAGGTGTTGCAATCCATATCATCTGGAGGGCACCAGGTTGGAGAAGTCTGGGCTGGAGTCTCAAGCCAAGAAAGCAGCAACAGGGGGGGACGTTCTAGAGCAAGCCAGCAAAGATAAAAATGTCAGACTCTTGCTATTTATACCTTGCTTGCCCAACCCAGAAGCCAGTGGCGAACCTACATTTTTGGGGCCCAAGCTTGAACTGTCATGGTCTGGATAACATGTCCACAAGGTCTGGATAACCACTGTTGCCTTCTTCAGTGAGGATGTTCCATGACAGATCACCACACCTTTACAACATCTGTACTGCTGACTGTCCAACTTGGGGATTGTTGAAATATAGGTAAAGGTAAAGGGATCCCTGACCATTAGGTCCAGTCGTGACCGACTCTGGGGTTGCGGCGCTCATCTTGTTTTATTGGCCGAGGGCGCCGACGTACAGCTTCTGGGTCATGTGGCCAGCATGACTAAGCCGCTTCTGGCGAACCAGAGCAGCGCACGGAAACGCTGTTTACCTTCCCGCCAGAGTGGTACCTATTTATCTACTTGCACTTTGTTGTGCTTTCGAACTGCTAGGTTGGCAGGAGCAGGGACTGAGCAACGGGAGCTCACCCCGTCGCGGGGATTCGAACCGCCGGCCTTCTGAGCGGCAAGTCCTAGGCTCTGTGGTTTAACCCACAGCGCCACCCGCATCCCTGTTGAAATATACACAACAACAAAAAGTCAGTTTCAGTCCTGCCACTCCAATTAGGTCTCCAAGACCCAAAGTTTTTAAGCAATGTGAACTGAAGTTGCTTCTGGGGGCCCTCTAGGATTAGAGGCCCTGAAGCTTAAGCTTCATTAGCTTTGTAGTAGATCCAACTGTTGCACTGTCTAAAGAAGTACCATACTTTCTTTCGTCTTTCTTGGAACTTCCAGCAGTCAGCCGCTTTGGATGAGACTTTCTCTACTCCGTGCATAATTTTACAAACCTTCCTCGAGTTCTCCCTGGCCTTTTTTCCTAAACTAAAAAGCCCCAAATGTTATACCCTTTCCTCATAAGGGAGTTGTTTCAACCACTTGATCAAATTGGTCGCCCTTTCCTGAACCTTTTCCAGCTTTTGCTGTGAGCATAGCACCAAAGATAGGTGGCATGTAATTTGTTAGGCAAAACTATTTGATCCGGATGTGTGTGTTTTTTCTCCAAATGAGCTTCATAGGATTTGTTTTGACTGGACGTTAAAAAAGCAATGAACACCCTATATGATTAATTTCTGCTTCTTTCAGACTGGGAGCCCCAAATCCACAAATATTTATGAAAACTGCCCAGAGGAGAACAAGGCAGTAGGTAAGCAACCTGTGGGTTCCTAAGACCTAAGTCACAAACTGCCCTCTTCATGGGGGAATGGAAAATGTAGAATCAAGCTCCGTTCTGCCTGTGGTCAAGCCTGCCTCTGCCTCTTCTTCCCCTTTGCTAAGGGTGTTTCAGAATTCCATTAGAAACAGGGGTGGAAATTGCCACAATTCACATGTTTGTCTGAGTTCAGTAATGGAGATAATGCAAGCAAATATAAGACATGATTCTTTGGGGGAAGTAATGAGCTTTTAATGTTGCTTTACAGACAGAGAAACACTGCCTGGTTAACAGAGTGCTTCCAGGGAAAAAAAGATTTTTCAGCCTTCCACCTAGGTTGAATGAATGAGTGGTACTGGTTGTTCCAGCCAAGGATGGCAAAGGGAATGGGGAGGGCACTTTAGCTATGTCTTTCTGCATTAACTGTTGAGTGAAGTGGGGTGGAAAACTGAGGCAGGTACAGGCAGAAGAGGATTTACCGTATTTTTCGCTCTATAAGACACACCAGACCACAAGACGCACCTAGTTTTTGGAGGAGGAAAACAAGAAAAAAAAAATCTGAATCTCAGAAGCCAGAACAGCAAGAGGGATCGCTGCACAGTGAAAGCAGCAATCCCTCTTGCTGTTCTGGCTTCTGTGATAGCTGTGCGGCCTGCATTCGCTCCATAAGACGCACACACATTTCCCCTTACTTTTTAGAAGGGAAAAGGTGAGTCTTATAGAGCAAAAAATACGGTACATGTCAAGAATGTGGCACGTGAACTAGGCGTTTGTTTCAAAGTGCCCTGGAGCACTTTTCTACACAATCAACATCACAGGGAAATGTCCAGAGAGAACCATAACATTCCTTTGCATTACATCCCTAGAGCCGTCTGTAGGCATCAAATGTTTCAAAGGACACAATGCAGTTCTTCTTAAGTTTCCATTATGATATTTCATAGATCTGTCTCAACGGACCTCCATTTCCAAGGGAACCCACCTTGTTACCACTGCTCATTCACTTGCACTCTCTCTCTCTCTAGACCAGTGTTTCCCAACCGGTGTTCCGCGGCACACCAGTGTGCCGTGAGACCTTGCCTGGTGTGCCGTGGGAGGGAGGCGGGAGAGGCTCCGAAGCGGGGCGGGGGGCGGGAACCTGCAGCGCGGGGCGCCCTTTGGAGGACGCCCCGTGCTTCGAGCAGCTGTCCGCAAGCCTTGGGCGCCTGGGGGAACTCCCCCCCCCGCGCGCAAGGCTTGCGGGCGGCAGCATGTAGCGCGGAGCGCGGGGCGCCCTTTGGAGGACGCCCCGTGCTTCGCGCAGCTGTCCGCAAGCCTTGGGCGCCTGGGGGAACTCCCCCCCCGGCGCGCAAGGCTTGCGGGCGGCAGCCTGCAGCGCGGAGCGCGGGGCGTCCTTTGGAGGACGCCCCATGCTTCGCGCAGCTGTCCGCAAGCCTTGGGCGCCTGGGGGAACTCCCCCCCGGCGCGCAAGGCTTGCGGGCGGCAGCATGCAGCGCGGAGCGCGGGGCGCCCTTTGGAGGACGCCCCGTGCTTCGCGCAGCTGTCCGCAAGCCTTGGGCGCCTGGGGGAACTCCCCCCCGGCGCGCAAGGCTTGCGGGCGGCAGCCTGCAGCGCGGAGCGCGGGGCGTCCTTTGGAGGACGCCCCGTTCTTCGCGCAGCTGTCCGCAAGCCTTGGGCGCCTGGGGGAACTCCCCCCCCGGCGCGCAAGGCTTGCGGGCGGCTGCCTGCAGCGCGGAGCGCGGGGCGTCCTTTGGAGGACGCCCCGTGCTTCGCGCAGCTGTCCGCAAGCCTTGGGCGCCTGGGGGAACTCCCCCCCCCGGCGCGCAAGGCTTGCAGGCGGCAGCCTGCAGCGCGGAGCGCGGGGCGTCCTTCGGAGGACGCCCCGTTCTTCGCGCAGCTGTCCGCAAGCCTTGCGCGCCCAGGGGAACTCCCCCCCCCGCGTGCACGGCTTGCGGGCGGCAGCCAGCAGCGCGGAGCACGGGGCGCCCTCCGTAGGAGGCTGCGGAGGGTGGCGCGGAGCTGCCCGCGCTCCAGGGCTTCTTGCAGCTCCGCGCCACCCCCGGATCCCGGCGCGAAGCCGCGCGGGGCTGCGGAGGGTGGCACGGAGCTGCCTGCGCTCCAGGGCTTCTTGCAGCTCCGCGCCACCCCCCGGATCCCGGCGCGAAGCTGCGGAGGGTGGTGCGGAGCTGCCTGCGCTCCAGGGCTTCTTGCAGCTCCGCGCCACCCCCCGGATCCCGGCGCGAAGCTGTGGAGGGTGGTGCGGAGCTGCCTGCGCTCCAGGGCTTCTTGCAGCTCCGCGCCACCCCCCGGATCCCGGCGCGAAGCCGCGCGGGGCTCCGGAGGGTGGCGCGGAGCTACCTGGGCTCCAGGGCTTCCTGCAGCTCTGCACCACCCTCTGGATCCTGGCGCGAAGCCGCGCGGGGCTCCGGAGGGTGGTGCGGAGCTGCCTGCGCTCCAGGGCTTCTTGCAGCTCCGCGCCACCCCCCGGATCCCAGCGCGAAGCCGCACGGGGCTCTGGAGGGTAGCGCAGAGCTGCCTGCATCCCGAAGCCTGGTGCGCGCTGAAGAGCGCCCCCGGGCTTCACGCACCTCTCCGCAAGCCTGGGGAGACCAGTGTGGCTCCCTAGGCTTGCGGATATCAGGCTGTTCTGGGGTCGGGGGAAGCTTGGGCTTCCCCCGCGCCTGCCCCGTGCCTGGGGAGGGGAAAATTTTTTTTTCTTTATTCTCCCCCCAAAAAATTAGGTGCGTCTTATGGGGCGGTGCGTCCTATGGGGCGAAAAATACGGTAGTCAATATAGGCACAGAGTTAATTTTTTTAACATTTTCTAATGGTGGTGTGCCTCGAGATTTTTTTCATGAAACAAGTGTGCCTTTGCCCAAAAAAGGTTGGGAAACACTGCTCTAGACTCAGTCCTCACAGCCACCCAGAAGGAAAGCGAAAGGCAACAGAGGGTACTGCTTCACCTCCTCACTCTTGTTTGCATACTGAGAAGGAGCAGGTGAACCAAGGAGGAACAATAACATGAAAAAGTAGTAGTGGGTCTGCTGCAGGGATGTGGGCCTCAGCAGATGTCCGATTATATCTGACGCCACCCTTGGCTTGCTCTACTTGTAACTGCCAGCAGCTGTCAGGCAACATGCTGCCCTTGCCGTTATTTGAGATGCTTATAACACTAAGGCCATAACTTCCACATTTCACACAAATCCAGGCAACAAAAGTTCAGCTGATTTTCCTAGACAGGAGAGGGAGATCTGGAGCAGAGATGGAGATGAGACGTTTAACCCTTTCCCCATTCATGATCTTATCATTATATCCCCTTCCAGAAGCTGCTTTGCTAGAAAATGTAAGCATCAGGGGCTTTTTAGATCTGTGTGTGTATGTAACATAAGGGAGCCAGTGTGGTGTAGTGGTTAGGAGCGGTGGACTCGTAATCTGGTGAACCGGGTTCACTTCCCCGCTCCTCCACATGCAGCTGCTGGGTGACCTTGGGCTAGTCACACTTCTCTGAAGTCTCTCAGCCCCACTCACCTCACAGAGTATTTGTTGTGGGGAAGGAAGGGAAAGGAGAATGTTAGCCGCTTGTTACAGACTTTTAAAATTTTGTAATAGATGCTGTAATTTTAATATTCCTATGTGAGCCACCTGGAGCATTTCACTCAGTGATGGGCCTTGGGGTTTCAAATTTCCGCAGCGTCCTAGGTGACACCAAAATTTGGCACCCCCACCTTCCATTCTACCTAAGTTGCAGAGCCCCCAAGGCTCTATGCAATCAAACAAGTTGTGCTACCCTAAATCTGTCTCTGTTCCATTGGGATCATAAGATAATAAATGCATTTATATGCAAACTTTACCCCAGTATATGTATCTTTGTACATACCGCTGGGCTGGTGAATTGCATTTCAAAAATCAGAGAAGTGCTAATTTCAAAGGAAGGGTGGGTTTCAGTTACAGAATATTTCAGAAAGTACAAATTAGGTTCACCTCTAAATGCAAACTGAATCAAATGTCTTCCTCATCCCTACTGAGTCTGGGAAATTATACATTCTCTTCCCTCTTGTGGTTCTGAGCCGACGGGATTATAGTGGTAGAAATCAGGTCACAACATTATAGTTCGATATTGGTGTTTATGTAGGATAGCCTGGTATGCTAGATATTCATTTTTTTCATATGTGCTGAAAATATTATATAAGTAGGCCCATGGTTTTTTTTGAACATGTCTTGGAAGAACGCATTTGGAAAATGTCAAGTGTTTTACTAATGTTTATTGTGAAATAAAGGAAGTCTCTTTCTATTGCAATTAACTGCAGATGGCTGCACTGAACAAGGGCAGGGAGGAAAGAAAGATGCTTCATTGCTGAAAAATGCAAGCAAAATGGATCTTTTTGATGACCCTCGATATATCAACACTCAGAATTTGCAGACCACACCTAGTAATACCAGAAGCTGCACCTCAGAACAGACCTGTGGCAGCCCTGTTCACCATTCAAGTACGTTCATATTCCTACAGTACATGCCACGAGGCTTTAAAAGAAATGTGAATCCTTGCAAAGTCATTCAGGCTTTTTGAAACCTGCTAAGCATCTGTTCTTGATATGAGACTCAAGATGAGCAATGCCAAATTTAGCATTAATGAAAACAATGGGCAGTAACAGATGACCATTATTACTCAACACACAGTGTATATGTACCCTCTTCATAAGCTGGTGCTTCCACTTCCCTGCTTCTCTGCATTTCTGCCCTTCTACACACAGGAAGCTGCCTCATATCAGGTCCATCTACTATTTATTCTATTTATATCCCATCTTTCCTCCAAGGAGAAACTGAGTACCTGGTTCTTCCCGTCATGTGATAAAACAATCCCATGACTGCAAGCACGGGGCAAGAATCTTAACAACCACGGCCCCTGGCTTCGCATTACATCTGAGCCATAGATTGTGGTTTATTTCACACCAAGCAAACCTTGATTGGTAAGCTAAGAATAAGCTTGATCTTATCATTGAGGTTTTTTGGGAGTGAAACAAACCACTGTGGTTTGGATGTCAGGAATAATGGTTTGTTTCTCCCCAGTACAAGCAGGGAACAGTGAAAAAGGTGCCCTCTGTTTACTGTGGCCAGTCTCCTGTTCACACTCCTTATGTTTACTAGCTAACTGTTTAAATAATAACAATTGTGCAAGCCGCTACACTGCCCTACAATTTAAAGATCCTTTTCTCATTGTTGAAACTATTCCCCAGTGAACTGCAGTGCAACCCAGTTGGTTGATAGACAGATATTCACAACAGTCAATAATAAAACTTGTGCATTTTCTTTTAGTTTCCATTGAGTTTTACAGCAGGGATGGGCAGAAGAATGTAGGCTGTGGATCACTGGTGAATTTCTGGTGGATTACTGTCACCTGGTGATCAATGGCATTCTTCCAAATCATGCAGCCTAGACCAGGTGTATCTTAGCTGGATTGAGTAACACATATTTTAAAGCAAGAGTGCTTGGGGACATTTTACACAAGTTTGTTGTGCCTTAAAAGCTAAAGGGTCTAAAGTTTGCTTTGTAAAGACATCACTGAATGATGGGAATCCTTGTTCAAAAAAGCTAAGTGAAACTGAAGTCAATTCATTCTTGTAGGTTTTGGAAGGGCTGTTGGAGGCAGTAGGCCTCTGAATGTCAGTCGCTGGGAATCACAAGAGGGGAGAGTGCTCTGGCACTCAGGTCCCGGTTTCAGGCTTCCCATAGGCATCTAGCTAGCCTCTGTGAGAACAGGATTCTGCACTGCATGCAACATTAGCCTGATACAGCAGGATTTTTCTTATGTTCTCGTGATCATGTCTCTTTACTGGTAGTTTATTGCATGCCTATGGTGCTAGTTTGAAGCACTGTCTAATGTAGACCTGTGCATTTCCTTCTCTGCTTTTTTTAAAAAAAACTTTATTCCAAAACCGAAAAAGAATTACAAACATCAAATTCAAAATCCATATTCGTTTTGTAACATAAGCCTATTACATAGTTGACTAGATTAAAATATACCTAATTGCTATAGACTTCCCTTTGCTATATATAAATGCAACACAATTAGAAATATTATATTAGAAATTTTTATAAATTTCCCTATACCCCCCACTCCCCTTCACCCATGTGTGATCTCAATTTTTTTTTACTTCTTCCATCTTGTTGTGTTGTTGTAGTTTAATAATTATTCAATTGATTCTTTTATTATTTCCTTGCACATTATCTATTATTTTACACATTATCTATTAATATTCCAGTTCCGGTGCTAGTTTGAAGCACTGTCTAATGCAGACTTGCGCATTTCCTTCACTTTAATTTCAGAATCATTGGAAGAGGTTGAGCAGAACCCGGCAAGTCTTGGAAGCATTGCAGGCATACAGCATCATCTATGGAATGAAGAATGCTACCATGGAAAGTTAACCAGGAAAGCCGCAGAGAGTCTCTTAGTGAACGATGGGGATTTTTTGGTGCGTGAAAGTACAACGTCGCCTGGCCAGTATGTTTTGAGTGGGCTACAAGGAGGACAAGCGAAACATCTGTTGTTGGTGGATCCTGAAGGCAAGGTAGGAACATTTAAGAAAATGGATATAGTAATCACTAGGAGGATCACTGGGCAGGTGCAGAGTGCCAGAAATAGCATTGTCTGGTTATTGTAATAATAATAATAATAATAATAATAATAATAATAATAATAATAATAAATTTATTATATATAACCCGCCCATCTGGCTGAGTCTCCCCAGCCACTCTGGGCGGCTCCCAATCACATGTTAAAAACAATAAAGCATTAAATATTAAAAACTTCCCTAAACAGTTCCCTGGCAACTGGTATTTAGAGGCATGCTTCCTCAGATCCAGGATACAGCAGAACATGGGTAGGAAAACTAAGGCCCAGGGGCTGGATCTGGCCCAATCGCCTTCTAAATCCGGCCCATGGACGGTCTGGGAATCAGCATGTTTTTACATGAGTAGAATGTGTCCTTTTATTTAAAATGCATCTCTGGGTTATTTGTGGGGCATAGGAATTCATTCATATATTTTTTTCAAAATATAGTCCAACCCACCACATGGTCTGAGGGACAGCGGACCGGCCCATGGCTGAAAAAGGTTGCTGACCCCTGCAGTAGAAGCAGACAGCGGGATGGAACAAGGTTGGGTGGCATTGCTCACCTAGCTTCCCAGTGCAGAGGTTCCTGCCAGTAACAGAGAGGGGAGGGGCAAGGTGGCAGAGAGGGTGGTGCAATGGAATAGCAATAGTGTGAGCATCTGATTGGCTGATTGCACCCACACTGCACCAACCTCCCTGCCGCTTAGACCCTTGCCCGCTCAGTGCCCAGCAGCGACCACTGTGTTGAGGAGCTGGGTGAACAAAGCTGCTCCAGCAGCACAAGACACACACCAGCTGCTACTAGGATGTAAAGGTAAAGGTACCCCTGCCCGTGCGGGCCAGTCGTGACCGACTCTAGGGTTGCGCGCTCATCTCGCTCAAGAGGCCGGGAGCCGGCGCCGTCCGAAGACACTTCCGGGGCACGTGGCCAGCATGACAAAGCTGCAACTGGCGAGGCAGCACCAGTGCCGCACACGGAAATGGCGTTTACCTTCCCGCTATAAAGCGGTACCTAATTATCTACTTGCACTTAGGGGTTCTTTCGAACTGCTAGGTGGGCAGGAGCTGGGACTGAACGACGGGAGCTCACCCAGCCGCGGGGATTCGAACCGCTGACCTTACGATCAACAAGTCCTAGGCACTGAGGTTTTACCCACAGCGCCACCCGCGTCCCTGCTACTAGGATGTAGCATACAGCAATCATGACTCTGGATTTTAATATTTTGCAAGTGGAAGAAAAGCTGGGGAGAAGGCAGGCGCAATATGGTGGTTTGAGATGCAGAGCCACCTTATTGACACACAATTGAAAACTAACATTTGCCTTTATTTTTTTGCTGTGTTTTCTAGGTTAGAACCAAAGATCATGTGTTTGACAGTGTGGATCATCTTATTCGTTACCACATGGAAAATAAATTGCCAATCATCTCTTCTGGAAGTGAATTAAATCTGAAGCAGCCTCTGAGGAAAGGGATCGGACACCCGCAATATAACAAATAATTAGGTTGGCTTACGCCGTCCTCAAGACAATTCCTCCTTTCTTTTTCCTAACAAAACTTCAAGTGACTATTCTGAAAAATGGATCCTAGGAATCCAGCTCTGCAAAGAATAGATGATGCCTCTAGATGCTGTTACACAAGACTTTGTGCGTGTGTGTTATCTACTTGCCAGTGTGTTTATCTACTTTACATCTATACAGTCCCATCTGGACAGCTATAACAGTTTTACCTTACAGAAATAAAACCCTGGAGAGCAAGAGAGAGAGGAGATACCAAGCACCAGAATCACTTTCTAATGATTTTTAGAATTAGTATGAAATATAAAAGCACAAGCAAACGATCACAAGCAAAAGCAAAACTGACTTGAAGAAACTGGCTGGAATGATAGAAATATGTGCCTTTTAACCAAGGAGGTGTGGGGAAATAAATAATCTTTATACTGGATTTTAAAAAATTTAGTTGATTAATTTGTCTAGGTATACAACATATGATTGCCAAAAAAAAAGAGAGAGACAAAAGAACCACAGGTCAATTTGAATAGAACGATAAAACAACAACAACAACTTCCATTATGATACTGATCTTTCTTTGAGGGCTACTCCAAAATTCACAGTTTCATTAATCAATTTCAGTGAAATGTACGTATGCTTTGGAGAAAGACTGCAGCTTAAGAAAGGTATCAGATTCATTCAATAGTAGTAATAAATATTATTATCCCTAAACGTTTTTAATGTTTGTGCAACATTTGCTAAATCTAAGTATGTAAATTAAGCATAATTTTGAAACGGAAGCTGACACTGGGTTAAACTTAGGTTTGCTTACTTTTCAAAAAGCCCTTCTATGCCTTTACCAGCAGCACGACATGTTAAGCGATAGCTGAAGCTTCATTTGCATGTCACGCTGCTGTTTTAAAAAAGAAGAGATGGACTTAATGGATGGTATGCCTAGTTAGATGCTAATATTTTTGAGAGTCTCAAATATGATTTTACTAATAATGCCAACAAGTATCAGAAATAACTTTCACTCTCAAATTCCATTGTAAGTTTACAATATAGAGAAGCTAAAGGAAACAGATTATATGTTATTTTGCAGGGGGACCTTTTTAAACTGGCTACTTTCCTTTCCTCTTTTTAAATTTTGCATGCTCTGTATTTCTCCTTCCCGCTGCTCTTTTTCAGCTCCACTAGATTTCTTTTGTTCCTAAAAGTTAAGAAACTAAGTTTCTTAGAAATAAATATTCACACTGCATTGTCTCTGTACCTGTTGTCAATCTGAAATATTATGTAAATTAGTATATACTGGAGCAATTCTGTACTTTATAACAGAGAGACCAAGTAGAGTGTTTGGAGTTTTGAAAAAGAAGACTACACTCTTTAGCACACACATCTAGGGAGTAATATTTACTGAACTCAGCCACACTCAGATGTTCTAATCCTGACTTGATAAACCACTGAATGGTGGTCCATGGCACTCGTATTTTTGCTGGTTTATTAAGCCAGGATTTGATTGTTTTGAACCTGGTCACTGGAACTTACTTCCAAGTGCACATACTCAAGACCACACTGCACATGGAAAGGATAGTTTTCTCAGGGTATATTCCTTTTTATATATTAGCACAATGCCACCAAAATCATATTTGTAAGAGCTGAACAAGTTGGCAGAGCAATAGATGGTGATTCTCTCCTAGGATGCCCAACAATGGATATATGAAAGTCTTAAATAAGGTTAGCTTTTAAAATAATGACATTTAAAAATAAACTTTGTCTGTGCAAATATATTTTACATGTTTTGTTTCTGTTCTTTTTACAACACACTGTTCACACAGTTTGTCACAATGCCAAGCTGAGAATCCCAACATTTTACCAAAAGGCTTGCAGCATGAGATAGCTTGTTGGTGACTGCACTGCTCATGGCAGTTTTGATGTATAAAGCCTTATACAGCTTGGGACCAAGATACATGAAAGATCATATCACCCTTTACACACCCAACCAATCACTATGTTCTGAAGCTGAGGGCTTCCTGAACCTCACCAGGAGGTCTGTTCTGTACAATTTGAGAATCAGACCTCTTATGTTACGGCAACTACACTCTGGAATGTTCTCCCATTAAATATTAGATAGGTGCCACCTTTCTGGCACCCAATGATGCTTGGGGAGTGCTGTTCGGCCCAATGGAGCCTTCAATGCAGGGTTCCTCAGGGTTCAATTTTATCCCTCATTCTGTTCAGCATCTACATGAAACTGCTGCGTGGGGTCATCTGAAGTTTTGGAGTACATTGTCAGCAATGTGCTGTTGAGACACAGCTCCCTTATATCTGTAGGTGTGGCATGGGATGTGCTGGACCATCGTCTTGCCTCTGTAATGGACTGGATGAAAGCCACTAAACTGAAGCTCAATCCAGGTAAGACAGAGGCACTGTTAGTGGGCAGTTCCTTAGAGCAGATGGGTGGGGGGAGGTTTGCTCTTGACGGACTTACACTCCATCTACAGGAACAGTACGTAGCTTGAGGATACTTCTTGATCCTTTGCTGTCACTTGAGGCTCAGGTGGCCTCAATGGTGCAGAGCGCCTTCCATCAGCTTGGGCTGGTGACCCAGCTGTACCCCTATCTGGACAGATATAGCTTAACTAATGTCATCTATGCTCTGGAAATCTCTAGGTTAGATTGCTGCGATGCATTATACTGCCTCTGAAGACAGTTTGAAAACTTCAGCAGGTGCAGAAATCAGTTGGCCAGGTTGCTTACTGTGGCAAGACTGTTTGAGCACATAATCGTGGCCCAAATGTACCGGCTGCCAATTAATTTCCGGGCCTAAATCAAAGTGCTGGGTTTTACATATAAAGCCTTAAAACGGCTGAGGACCACAACATCTCAAGGACCACTTCTCCCCATATGAACCGCCTCAGACCTTGCAATCATAATCTGAAGCCATTCTTTTTGTGTTTTGTCCACAAGAGGTCCAGAGAGCAGTAACTGAGCCTTTTCTGTGGTGGCCATGGGCAAATAAATAAAAATACTTAACTAACTGAACAACTGTATCACAGATAGCTCAGTTCTGCCCCCGCCCATGGTGGCGGCTCCCCGTTTGTGGCATGCTCTTCCCTGGAAGGATCGCCTGCCACTTTCATTGCATATCTTTAGGTGCCAGGCAAAAACATTTCTCCTCTCCCAGGCCTTTGGCTAATCAAACCATCTACAGCCTTTTAAAATGGGGGGGGGGCTTTTATTTTTGCTTGTTACTGTGTTGTGTATTTTTTGTGTTTTTATAGTGTAAACTGCTCTGTGATCCTTGAAGGCTGGTGTATAGAAATACAGTGGTACCTCGGGTTACATATGTTTCAGGTTACAGACTCTGCTAACCCAGAAATAGTACCTCGGGTTGAGAACTTTGCTTCAGGATGAGAACAGAAATTGTGCTCCGGCGGCACGGCAGCAGCGGGAGGCCCCATTAGCTAAAGTGGTGCTTCAGGTTAAGAACGGACCTCCAGAACAAATAAAGTTCTTAACCCGAGGTACCACTGTATAACAATTGTTATGATTATGATTGCTGGGCCTGATCCAACAATGCGCTCCTTCTGTTCCGTCCCTGTGTAAGATGAGCAGGTGAATGGGTCCTGAGGGCAGAACAGAGGATGCCCCCCGCCCCACCTCCAGCCCCGGAATAATTCCTATTTGGAAGACAGCCGAAATCCTCCCATTTGCCAAAACCACACACTCAGCTCCCCTTCCAACAGGCAGCCTGCAATGTGCTTAGAGCGCAGCCGCAGCCGGCTCTGAAACTGTCTGGTCATTTGCGCTACTCCTCCCGATTGGCTGAGACCTCCATCCAACCGCCGAGCAGGTTCCTTTTCCCGCCGCCAGCCGCGCCAGCTTTCAAACCAGGAAAGGCTTCGCGGCGCAACCGAGCTTGGAGCTGAAAGAAAGGAAAAACAAAAAGCAAAGCCCGCCTCTTCACCCACCGGCTTCTCTCGCCCGCTTTGTGGAAAGGCTGTCTCCTTGCCTATTGGTCAGCCTTTCTTTCAATCGTCCAAAGAACGACGGGCAGGTTCGGTCGTCACGCGGAAGAGGGAAGGGGTCGCTTTTAGCGGCGTGGGGACGGGGAACAGGTGAGGCGTCTCGGCTGCTTGTTGGGGGGAGAAAAAGTGGGGGGTCGCTGCTCTCTCGCTCGTGTAGGAACCCGGGGCGGGGTTCAGCGCGGCGGGGGTGCCCAGGGAGGGGTGGTGGTGGTTGGGCGTCGCCATGGAAACGGGGCGCCTCGGGCCTAGACGCCGAATTTGCCTGCTCTGCTTCCCTCGCAACTCGCACCCCGTTTTCTGACGAAGTTTTTTTTTTAGAAGCAAAATGTTTTAAATAGGCACCTGTGCCCTTCGCTGTGGTAAAGAGGGACGCTCTTGTGCTAAAACTGAGGAAGGTTGACGTAGCCGCTTACCTTGACTAGCCCCCTTGTCTATGGTTGCCACCTTTCTTGTGGCAAAATGGGGGGCGGTTTTTATTTTCTCATCTGGTGCTGAAGCGACTTGAAAGCAGTCCATTGTGATCTGTTGCAGCCTATTCCCTGGAATACATGTCACACACGCGCACACACATGGATTTTTAAATCTGTGCTTGGCTACTTAGAGCTTAAATACAGTGGTACCTCGGGTTACATACGCTTCAGGTTACATACGCTTCAGCTTACAGACTCTGCTAACCCAGAAATATTACCTTGTTTTGAGAACTTTGCTTCAGGATGAGAACAGAAATCGTGCTCCGGCGGCGCGGCAGCAGCAGGAGGCCCCATTAGCTAATGCTTCAGGTTAAGAACAGTTTCAGGTTAAGTACGGACCTCCGGAACGAATTAAGTACTTAACCCGTGGTACCACTGTACATGACTTTTCACACACCCTTTCAAACACAGGCATTTGGAGAGGATCCCTAACTTGGCAGAGAGAAGACATGAAATACAGGGCAAAACTGTATCAATACAGGACGCACTGGACAGGTGGCAATCGTACCATTGACCTGCCTAAATAGATGTGGGGTTGCAGCTTTGCAGCATAACCTGAGATGCTTCAATGGCATAATTCTAATTCGCCTCAATAAGGCACACTTTTGAGCAATACTCATTTACAGGGTTGTGCTGCATAAAGGTGCCGTGCTATGTAGTGCTTTAGAAGTAGTTCTTGATACGTTTTCAGAAGAACGTCACACATACATTGCTTGTTAACGTTTTGGGCTCCTTTTCTGATCGTTCAAAGCGGCTTGCAAAACAAAAATGGCGACCAGGGACTTGCAGAAGATGCTTGACAAAATCCCAGTTGCCAAGCTTGCTAAACTAAAAGCCAGCTAGCTGAGAAAAATGTGCCTTTCCAAATGCAAGTAAGGAAGTATATATAATTCTGAAGTTAATGGAGAAGACTTTCCCAGAGATGGGGGATACTATTAGTCGTGATGGCTCTGTTTTTACTTCCACTGTTGGAGATGGTATGCCTCTGAATACCATCCACTGGGAATCACAAGTAGGAAGGGTGCTGTTAAGCTTTTGGGTCCTCCTTGCTGGCTTTCCCTGGGCATCTGGCTCACCGGATGCTGGAATATAATGGACCTATGGCCTCATCCAGAAGAGCTATTCTTACGTTGTTATAATTTGAAGTAATAGTGGGAGCGTCACAAAATATTTCCTGCTACCTTATTTACTCAGCAAGGTTTCAGTCACTCAACACATAATAGGTTTCCCAAGCTAATCTTTCTGAACTTAGGCTGAGTAGAGCTGGCCATTCTTTGAATTTAGCTTCATTGATTCTAGCCTCTCTCAGGGTCTTCAGGGAAAGGAATTTTATTTCAGTGTGGAGAGTCAGAAACAAAAAGGTTGGCTAACTTCTCCTGGTCCCGTCTCCGGCTAGTTCAACAGGTAAACTGTGCAAGCCATCAATTTACACATTGTTTTGCAAAGCAACTATAAAATAAAATAGCTTTTTATATTCATAGGTTGGATGCTTGAGGCTAGCTTTTTTTAGACTGAAGAGTGCAGGAGTCTGAGTTGGATCTATAAAAATGCAGCAATCAAACATCAAGGCATTTCTCAGTCTCTCAAGTACCAATTGAGTTTCACAGAACTCATCAAAAGCATAACAGATGAGGCAAAATAATAATTTTGTTAGCAAATCTTGAGATTAATTTTTAAAGAATAATATGCAGAGAATAAATTTAGAAGGTTTAGTGAGGTGTTTATTTGAGACTAAAACGGTCTGTTTTCAAGGTTATAATAGGGAGTTGCTATTTGTATCTGACTGGTGATGAATCACCACAACCATATTCTACTTGAGAATACCAAACCTTCCAAGCATAGTAATGTAACTGAACAAAATTGGCACTTGAACTGCAAGTAGGGAATGTTATATGAAAAATTTGGGGTGGGGTAGGACGGAGGGGGTCAGTCTTTAGGAATAGGTGTAACATAGGCCAAATGGCTGCTTATGAGCAGGCAACCAAACATTGTTAACTCCTATTATGTGCCTTTTGAAAGCTTTTAGGGGTCGCGTAGCCTCCGCATTGCCCCAGAAATCCCCTCCAACAACCACTCCTTCACGGAGAACCCGTGGAGCGCGTCCGTTTTGGTGAGCAGTAAAACCCGGAAGTCAGTATCAAAGAATTTTTAAGTAATGAGCTAACAAATTCTGGCTAATGGGAACGTCACTTTAGGAACGGTGTCTGCATGTTTGAGGACTCTTCCTCTTTCACTAAAGTTTATTATTATTATTATTAATTGCAATTGTGTAATTTTTGTTTTCCCCAC